TCTTCCTCTCTGGTGAATTTTATTCCTTTGAAGACGTTGTTGATGGTTTCATGTGTCTTCTTTAGTTGTTCCTTTTTTATTATAACAAAGGTGTCACCTCCCACCATGGCTAGCTGGGGAATTCTGGGAGTTAAAGTCCACACATCTTAAAGTTGCCAAGGTTGAGAAACACTGCTATAAAATCTGTTAGTCTGAATACACACACACACACACAAACACAAATACAAACACTTCCTTTTTAAAGCATCCTTTGTCTTTGTCGGCATGAATATAAACACCTCATTTTCAGGCCTCATTTTTATAACAATCTGTAATAATGAATTCACCCCTAACCACAGAAGCAAAGGCAGCAGTTATTTGTGTGGAAATAGCACACGTTAAAAATGTCCCATTGTAGTTGTCAAGACAAAATGGACTTTATCCTCATAACAAGACAACATGTGAATAAAACATTAGATGAAATGTTTTAAATAAATGCTTGTGCTCCTGATAAATTGAAAGCCTGACACCAATGATGTTGTAAGTATTATTTATATTTAACAGCAAGAGCTTAACTTATGTAACTAGGAAAGCTAAGTAACATTCAGCCATGCTCTATGGCAGGGCTCCCCAGAGTGGTCAGTATCAATCCCCAAGGGCCAATGGGACTATCTAAGGGGTTATTATTATTATTCTTATTATTATTCATACTACTATTAGTTGAAGTAGTATTTATTAAATTATTTTCATATAATAAATGTTTGGGGTCGATGGACAATCTTAAATTTCTTGAAGGGGTTGATGAGCTGAAGAGTTTGGGGACCCTTGCTCTATGGGGGGGTTCAGCTAGGCCTTGAAGCCACAGAGAAAAATGCTGATGAGCAAGAGAGATGGTTCCTTTGATGTTTTCCCCTCATTCTGGAGCACAAAGTCACTTCTCACTGACTAGTTGACTCTGTTGACATTGCAAGCGGCATGGCTGTCAGTTAAAACTTCAGAACTACCCTCAGTTTTTTTCTTTCATGTGCGTGTATAATTTTATAGAAGTAGTTGAATGTAAAATCCTCATATTGGGTAGGTGTTATAAGGCACTAAATGTGATGACTTAGAATAAGCAAGCCAGAGTTTTGTTTTTCAATTCAACCAAGAAATGTACATTTTAAAAAAAACATGCCACAGAGAAAATGTGTATTAAAACATGCACTGGGGAAATGTATAGGTAAAAGAGGACATTTGGGAAATGCAAATTCAAAACAAACGATCTGTGTTACAGAATTTTCTGTACAAAAGCTGCAGGTATCAAGGAATATCATGAACAAAATGATGCATGTCTTTGCTACAGATTTTTTTTAAAAATCCATAAAAATATAGAAATCAAACTATTGCTTCACTGACAGTAACGTAGAATGGATTTATACTTATCCACATATTCCTAGTATATAATGCCACTGTGGCAGTTTCCATCCTGGGTGGGCTGGAAGCTGGCTAGGATTCATAAAACTTAATACTCTCAGGCTTACTTCATACTGTGGCAGTTGCTGTCAATCAGTGTTGTGTAGTTGGCAGTCTTAACAAAAGAAACTGGGTCTGTTGCTCTCTTGGAAGCACTAGTGTTAGTGATGTACAGAAAGTTGCTGTATTACCTGGAGAATTTACTCAAGATATAATTGTTCCACATACAGGTAATCCATGAATTAATAACACCTGGATTACAGACAACCCATAGTTAAGAACGGAGCCTATTGTAGCAAAATTTGAGTTAATTACACAATGATTCAAGTTAATTACACAATACTATTTATATAGTATTATACAATAATACTGTTCTAGCTTACATACAAATTTGACTTAAGGACAGACCTTGGGAACAGAACACGTTCTTAAACTGGGGACTACCTGTAGTAAGATGTTTGCATAAACTATGTCCCATGCATTAGGATTGAGGCTGGTGAGTTCCCCAGGCTAGAGATGATTGCTATGGAAACATGTCACAACTGCCCAAGCCCGATACCAAATATCAAAACCTTCAAGTTTCAACCACTGAGAATGTGTACATGTTCCCCTCATCTTTGCACTATAGTGAGCAAGCAACTGTTGTGTGTGTGGCTTCATTCTTGTCTCTTATATAGATTCTAATCTAGCTGAGCTGTGTCTCTGAGTCTTCTGTCAAGCCAAGCTGAGAAACTGAGCTAAGGGTGAAGTGTTGAGAGATCAGTGATACATTACCAGCCCTAGGTGTGAAGCCTGGTACTGTGGCAATGGCACTGGGTGCAGAATGAAAGCATTATGGTATAAAAAGGGGGGGGGGGGGGATTGCTTTTAATGCTGGATCTGACAGAGAGCCTGAGAATGATCTTCTCCTGTTAGCTAGAATGTGAAAGTTTTCATGTTCCACACCCAGCAATCTAACAGCTTGAGCATGTTGGGTCAATACTTTTGTCTCCCTAGAACGGTATGCCTCTTCAGACTCTCTATACTATGGTTATGGAGCATGACATAAAGGCCGGGAACGTAGCCATCGAGACAGCTGGAACTTTACATCTGAGAGAATATTACGAGGTATACCATTTTTTGATTTAGAACATCCCTATGCAAGAGCAACAATTTAAAATGCCCCATGAGTCAATGGGTTGACTAGAATCTTGGTCCTAAAGAGATTGCTGCGGGAACATCTGCATTTGAAGAAGGTGGGGCTGGGAAATAGAGAAGAAATGCTAAAACTGCAGGAATTTTTTGTTCATCAAGCACCCATATTATTTCAGTTATATTGTGGTTTTTCTGAATTCCTGCTTAATACTTTATTCTCTCCTGCTATGTACACCCAACAGTCCTCTTTCTATTGTAGCCTCTTTGGGCCAAAAGGAATGAAATTGAGAAATGGCGGAAGGAATTCAAAGATCAGTGGCAGAGAGAGCAGAAAAGGATGGTAAGAGCATAGCAGGGGATGAAGTTGCAATCACAGTTGGACTTTCATCAGATGTGCATGGGCCAGAGGTGTTAAGGTCCTATAAATGCTGCTATACATTCAAGATTTTAAGCAAGTTTTTGGGTAATGGAAATTCAGGTTGGGGGATAGACTAGAAAATCCTTCTTTGGGGAGACTGGGAGTTTTAATCCCACACTTATTAAGTACCAGGACAGAGAGGGGTGGACAAAGGGCCACCTCATGGGCTTCCATGCAAAACCATATTTCTTATAACCCATGTAGTCCAGATCTTCACATTGAAAGAAAATGCTCTATTATTTTTCCAAGGATTCTGTTCTCAGGAACATTATTTCATAATGAAAAATTACTTTCCCCTCTACTTAAGAAGGTACTGTATAGATGAAAACATATAGATGGTAAGCTACTGAATTCTACCTGTTTCATCGTTCATGGCAGGTTTTTGAGTGTAAACAACTGTTGCCAAAGTGAACCTTCCAAATGTAGGTTAGGATATGGCTTTACATTAGTTTTCATATCCAGGTCATGAAAGCTAATGTAAGTCAATCTGAATGATACACAAAAGTTGATTTAGGCACTTGTTTTCAGTTTATTTGTTTATTTCATTGCTAAACTGCAGTCCCCTTATATGGATTAACCAAGGTCTCCAATCTTATGGATTTTAAAAATATTAAACTTGGTTTTAAAAATGAAAAGGATCAAGCTTAGATTGACACGGTGAGGCTGAATCAGGTACGAAGCCTGAAGTGGGGAATCTCTGTGCTCTTTTCAACACACCCATTTGTTTTTATTGAAGTCCACTTCGAATACTTTGCAAGTAAGCCATGGTGGTTACTAAATGTCAAAATATTTGGCTGTCCTACTGGGCAAGCACCTCTGTCATAGTCAGTTGAGACCCTGTAATACTCTGAAAGAAAGTGCAGAGATAGATAAAAATCCCCCAACTTTGATACTTTAGCAAAATCTTCGTTCCATCATCATCTAAAAGGAATTGAGAGCTGTGATTATTTCTGAGCTGCATTTGGACGGCTAGACTATAAGAATCATGCTTTAAGCCTTAAAAAAGAAAAACTTAAGAGAGGGCATTTATTATTGGCATTATTACTGAGTGCTGGGAAGGACTGCACTTTACTTTCTTTCTGAGAAATTCATGCCAGCTGCCAATGGGCATGTGACATAAAACTGGATAGGCCCAGGATGTAACTTTTAGCAGGACAGGAAATATTAAAATCAGAACTAAGTAATACAAATAAACAAATAAATGAAAAATAATTTTAAAAAGTCAACTTTTTTAAAAAAACCCAACACTTTAGCAAGTAAGTTGCTTAGTCAAAAACAAAAGAAGTTGCTGTCTAGGGATATTCTAAATATTTTTATTCCTCTTGGCATGTGTGAACCTCTGATGGTACAGCCAAACTAATTATCATATTTAGAATTGTTCTAGATACTTTCATGTTGTATTTTATATGGTTTTACATGACTGTATTCAGTTAAAAAAAATCTGTACAATCTGTGCGGATGTATTGCATGATAGGTGATACATAAAAAAATTTGTTATCAGTATAGTAATTATGAGGGCCAGTGTGATGTAGTGGTTAAGGCACCAGGCTAGAAACCGGCAGACCGTGAGTTCTAGTCCTGCCTTAGGCACGAGGCCATCTGGGTGTCCTTGGGCCAGTCAATCTCTCTCAGCCCTAGGAAGGAGGCAAGGGCAAACCACTTCTGAAAAACCTTCCCAAGAAAACTGAGGGGACTTGCCGAGGCAGTTGCCAGGAGTCAAGACTGACTCGAAGGCACCAAAAAAATAAAAAGTCATTATAGTCAGTGTGGTGTGGTCAGTCTGGTGATATAGTGGTGTGGCCACTACATCTTGCAGGTTTATTGTTGGCAAACATTGGAAGAGGAAGTGCTCTATATGTTGCCTTGAACTTCTGGGGAAAGGCAGGATCTAATAACAATATAAATACATTATTTTAAAAAGCCTTTCAAAAACAAAGCCTACAGCAGAGCTGCTGCACAATAACAGTCTGCCTCCTCTAATTGCAGAATGATTCCTTGTCATCGATGCGCAAATCCCGCCTCCATTACCTCCAGCGTTGTGAGGATTTGGAAAAAGCCAAAGTGCAAAGTGCCAAAGCGGAAGAAGAGTTCCAGGCTATCACAAGTAGTGGAAACAAGCAGTTGGAAAAACGGCGACGTTATCGAGATGAGGCTCAGTTAAAGGTATTGGTCTTGGGACTTAAAAGTTAAATATGCTGCCTCTTCAGTCTGGCCCCTGGAGCAGATGTTAGGCTGAGGATTCGGGTCCTCATGACAGCATGGGAAAGTATAGATATGTGTGGAGAAAACACAGATTGCACAGGCAACGAGTTACAGCTTTTTGCTATAAACTTTTGCTCTCATGGACCACCTAGCTATCTGGATGACATGGATGCAGATATGGAAAAGCGATATGTACGAAAAGTTCTTTTATCATCAGAAGTGATTTTAAAAATGAAATCAAAACAACAGCTCCTGAACATAGAGGGTCATACCCTTAATTGCTCTGGCTTTTGACTGCCGCAGATACTGCTCAAGTAATTTGTTCTGCCACAGTTCCCTCCAACCAGTACTTTGCCTCCTTCGTTAAAGTTTTCCCCCATTTATGAACCTGTTAAAATTGATGTGAAAGAACTGGCTACTTTATCTGTAATTGTGAATGATCATCTGGGAATTCATGTAGATTTTGGGCTTGCATAGAGCCTATTCTAAGCCTTCCATAAGCAAGCATGGAACTCTTCTCTCTTCATTCCCAAAGGTCTGCAAAGTTCCTCCCTCTTGGCTTCTAGAAGGTGTTTTAAGTCAGTTTTTATTTCCCTGGACCTTCAAACCCTAGCTTAAGTTTTGTTGGCATCCATTTTAGGATTGCTTTATTATTCCAGTTGTTTTTAATAATATTGATTTTCTTTTTATTGTTTTCATAATGTGAATGTGTTGTAACCTGCCCAGAGCCTTTTGGGTTGGGTGGGCTATAAAAATAGTTAACCAAATAAAGAAAGAAAGAAATGGCAGACAGAACACTGAATTGCTCACAATGTATACTCTCAAGGAAGAGAACGTGCTGCTTTAAATCCAGTAGAAAAGCTAACACTTCATGAATTTCACATTATGCAGGATCAAGCTGTTTTTTTTTGGGGGGGGGGCATGAATTGACATATCTCCACTTTGTGGTAAACATTTTTCTTCCTGAGGGTTTTTTTGGATGCTGGGGGGAAGTACAGTGGTACCTCGGTTCACGAACTCTTCTGTTCACGAACAATTCGGTTCACGAACAGCTCCGGTCGCAAAATTTTGCCTCCGTTCGCGAACTCCGCATCGGGTGTTGAACAGGATCCAAAGCCATTTTCCCTCCCATGACACGTGGTTGCGGCTTCCTGTAGGGAGGGGGACTCCCCCACAAAGCAGTAACCGCCTCCCCGCCCGCCTTCCTGTCCTCCACACCAGAAGTCGCGTCG